TAAATTTCAAACAAGAATTAAATGGGTTTTTTTGTAGATTACCATCTTCAAATTAATTTCATTACATTTGTATTGGAATGTGTTATTATAAATATTAAATCTATTTTTTGAATTCTTTATTTTTTGCCTTAAAGTGTTGTTAAGTTGGTCTAGCATTGCTATGCTTGAATATCTTTAAAATGCGGTCGATAATTTAAAATGGTTTGTTTTAATTTCAACTGAAAAAAGTAACCTTTGCCGTGATAGTATTTGACATGGGTAATTTTGAATACCATTACACAAATGTTATAAAATAAAGATGTTTGAAAGTATGACACTCCTAGCTGTGCATAGATTATATCCACGTAAAACCTCGTAACTTTTCCAATCCAGCTGCTCATAAAAGCCGTATCTCAAGGAAATCGTACTCCTGGGAGCCCGGAAGCCTTGTGATGTTGCCGAATAAGAAAGGCGCTATCTTGTGCATATCTGTTTCCACTGAAGAATATCTCGTCATGATGTACACCAAAACTAGAACCTCGAGATCACAGGGGTGACCTTAAATGACATACGGAACAACGGAGAAGATTCTTTTATTTTTCCTAACTAAATGGTCATCATCAATTCAATTTCAATAAATTTTATTGTCAAAGGACAAATGGATTGGGCAGCAGGCATAGCCTATTTAAGCCCTTTCCAAACATAGTAACAGACAGTGGTACAAGCATAGACATAGAACACATACAAACACATATAAACAAGTTGGTATTATCAAATTAATAATCAAATTAGGGGAAACAACTACTAATACTCATTTTTATTATAATTGAATCTAATGGTTTGAATTCTAACCTTTTATTTTGATATTGAAAAGACATAAAATATATACCGGTATATACATATTATGAAGAGAAAAGAAAAATAGTTTGTTGATGGAGCTGCATGTATAAACATTTGATGGGATTAAATTACCGCACCCAACAGATACAGGCCAAAAAGTCCATTGTATCACACAAGGCCATCCACTGATGAGTTTGGAAATTCAATCCCACCAAATAGTTTAATTTATGCATATTAAACACAGGTTAGATATATAATTAACATGTTGTAAAGCTTTATATTCTTATTTATGTAGTTGTTTCCCAATATTTTTTAATAAAATAGTATAACTGGTCTTCTGAACCCCAGCCCCCCTCACTAACAATATTTAAAAATAAACAATGAAGACAAATAGGAAATATTAATATTAATATTCATGTACCATTTCTGGAAATCAGAAGAATTACATTGAGAAAAAATAAAATGTAAATAAATAAAGTGTAAATAAATAAAATGTAAAATTTCATTCAAAATTGAAGTTAAATGTCCTGAATCTTCTAGAACTTAAAATGTAATTGGATATAGATAGGAGAATATGTTTATTTTCATTTTCATCACATCTCTCACAACCATTTAGCATGACATCTAATGATAAATGGTTGTGAGTTTCATGGAATATATTCTGAAAAAGTAGAATACGATCTTCAGTGTATTTGATACAATCATGGAAGTAATGAGATGCTGTTTCAAATCTAGAACCACAAGAACATGCAGAGGACTCAGTAAGATAATCTTTCTGACGGTCATTATTTAGGTTACTGGCCTCATTTCTCAACTGACAGAGAATAATATTAGTTTCCCTATTTCCTAAAAACTTAAAGACATCAGTTGTTCTTGTGTTTGAATTTGGAATAGGTGTTATTAACTTTTTGAACTGATAGGCGGAACGAATATTTTGAAGGTCTGAAGCGATATTATTTATTTCATTAAACATGGATGGAAAAAAGCTATTAGAATAGTTAACAGTTCGACAAAGAGGAGGATCAAATATTCTAACTGATCTAAGGGGATATCTAGCTAGTGTGGGATCATGATAATGTGACTCAGTGATTTCTTTCAGATAATATGGAGTTTCATTATTCATAATCTTGTACATCAGCATCATTTTATGTTGTTTTCTCCTACTTTCAAGAGGAACCCAGCCTAATTCTTTGTACAAGATATTGTGGGGGGTGCCTCTACGCAGTCCTGTAATTATTCTTGCAGCCTCTAGCTGGACTGACTCTAAGAGATTTTTTAGATTTTGAGAACAATTATCCCAAACAACATCTGCATATTCTAGTATAGGTCTAATATATGATGTATACATTGTGGTTAATGACTGTCTGTCTAGTTTATGTTTCATCATCCTTAAAATATTAATTCTTTTGTATGCTTTTTGGTAAATATCATAAATGTGGTCATTCCACTTAGCATCATCACTGAATGTCAAGCCAAGATGTTTATGTGTTCGGCTGACAGTAACAGGTTCATCATAAAAATATACATTTGGGTGATGAGTATTCAGTTTTTTAGAGAATATAACAGATTCTGTTTTATTTGGATTAAATTTAATATCCCATTTATTAGCCCAGAGTTGTATATTACTGAGATCATCTGTTAGGTTTTGTGCTAACTCGATTGGATCATCGTCTGTTACAGCGTATAGAGAAGTGTCATCAGCAAACAGTTTAATTTCATGAGAAACACAGTCAACAATATCATTAATATAAAGTAAAAACAAAAGTGGACCGAGAACCGAGCCCTGTGGTACCCCTGCATTTACAGCCCTGGATGTAGATATATATCCCTCAGTTAACACTCTTTGTTTTCTGTCATCTAAAAAATTTCTCAACCAACAAAGTAATTTCCCTTTGATGCCATATAATTGGAGTTTATGTACCAGTCCATCATGCCATACTCTATCGAACGCCTTGCTTATCAATTCAGTCCAAACACATGGTATTGTATTACTTCCCAATGTTGAAAATATCGCGTTTTTAATTTTTTTTTACAGTCTCAATCTTCGTTGACAATGTCATCAATAAAACATTGCGGTGTTGATGATATGTGGTCCGAAAAACAAGACAAAATTGGTAATCATAATTTGACACGTTTAAGATTAAATGATAATAATATGTAAACTTTTCTAAGCATATTATAGTAGCTAGAATACTACAACGGTTCGTCTGTACAACGTAAGATACGTTCTGTGGAGTACCTCCAAAAATGGTAAAACATGGTAAAGTATCCATCTTTTTGGGGTGACATAGGTAAGGTCCATGCTTTCAACTAATGGTAGGGTTGGGATTTAACATATTTCACAAATATTGTATAGCTTCCTTTTTTCTTTAGAAAGAAATCTAAAACACATCATGTAAATGAATCTGAAAATATTTTATTTGTTAGAAAAAGCTATGACAAAACATCAAAGCATTATACAAATGTTAAAGTGATACATTTATAGGAATTTAAAGCTTGTTTTCCCATCTTTAAAAAATTGCATGTTATTGTTTGTAGGTTCAGAAAGCACAGCCAGTAAATCATTTATGTGTGATATTTCGATAACTTGAACGAACTGTACTACCTTACCTTCATCAGAAAAAATATCTGTGATTTTTTTTCTAATGAAGCTGACAAAACACTTATTATACAAGTCACCAAAACGTCATATCCAAGCGTTTCACTGACTGTGCTTTATGAAGCTGTGTGCCAGCCAGTCTTACCAACCCGACGAAAATGTTGACAAATTGTGTGCTTATTTAAACTATGATTCGATTTGACTTAAATACTTAATAACACCATCCTTCAACGAAATAATATCTAACGATCCTTATACTCAGAGGAAGTAGAGAAGATGTGTTAATATTCTGCTGCTGATTTGTTTTAACCTTGTAATTGACGGTAAGTGTTTTCGTTTTTTTTACTAATATATATATATATATTATTTTAATCTAACAGAGACACGTTAATTAACCGTTTACTTAAGAAAGCGATTTTCTGATGATTTTTCCCCCATATTATTGAACAGGTGATATCACCGTAATGAATCTGTAGTAGGTGATATCACAACAATAAATAGGTAATAGCATTTCAATGACCAAGCATTTTATCGTTTTACTCAAATATGTACAAATAATCCGATATACATCGGCGTGAAGCACTTGGATTAAATAAAAGTAAAAACGGCACCCGATAATTACAACGCTTAATTAATATCACAGACTAAAATTTTGTTACATGAAGTTTAAATATGGTTTAAATGGGGTGGTGTATGGTCGTCTAGGAAATAAAATAGCAACCAATGAAACTTCACAGTACCAAATATCTCCCTACGGTAATCGTATCAAAAACTGTTTAATACATACATGTAAGAGCATACAATGAATGCAAAGTTTCATCAAATTAGGTCCTGTTCTTATATATGGAGTATATTACAAACTTAAAATAAAATCATATATAATAGAACCCCCTGATACAATAAAAGGATTAAAAAAAAAATCTTCTATATATATCAAAAAAAAACTTTTTAAAAGAAATGGTAAAAAATAGTATTTCTAGTCATTCTAAATCCTAAACAAATAGTTCTCTTTGCCTTAAGACTATAACTAATGTATTTCTATTGCTGTGATATCTTTATGGTGGGTACGTATATCGCGGACGTCGCTATAGGTGGCAGAGTACAGTAGAAATGACTTGACCCTAAAAATAAAGGGCATGTCTCGGATAAACATGGATAGCGGATTCATCCTTCACAACACACCTACATATATATATATATATTTATAAACTACATTTTGAATAAGTTTTTTTTAGGAGAACATTTTTTTTTTTTTTAAAGTGATTTCCCCAGATTTGGGACTTGTGAAATGCATGGTTACCACCTCAAAAAACACCAAAATATCCAAAAAATCGTGATTTTACCCAGAATTCGACCCCCGCAAGTAGAATTGTTTTTCTTAAAACCTGTCTGAAATTAAATATCGCCTACTCGGTAACAGAAATACTCACGTTTTAGCATAGGTCATACCGGTGGATTTTTCACAATACTTACACATGTGCTGAGTACAAAAATAGACTACATGAAAAGCTAGCTTTTGTTGTGTAGACACAGATTTGTAAATGCCCAAAATTGAAGTCTCAAACCAAATTCGATTTTTTTATTTTTTGAAAAATTATGAAGCCCACATAGTCCAATTCATCATCTATATGCCCATTTTAATGCTGTTTTTTCTTAAATTTTGATACATGTTATATTACAGGGGTTATTCATTGTATAAAAATATCACCCATGGCCACCGTACGCTACTGTACTCTGCTACCATAGCGAACTATTATGTGACGTCTTAGTTTAAACAGTCTGAAGAATCTCCTAGAAGAGATGAAAGTACTAAAGACTCGTTGTTGAGAATTTTTCTTTCGATAATATTTCTTCGTCTGTAAGGATATTTATTCTGCTTTTATAATATATATATATATATATTGGTCCAAATCCTCGAAGATGTTTTGTTTCAATATTTCATTTCAGCTTAACAACACGGCACTTGTAGTTCTTTGGCGCCCGCGCCAATCCCAAAGTCGCGTCAAATGATGGGAGTTTGTCAGGGCTTTCTGGGAGAAATTTGAACCTCTGCAGCAATGAGGTTAGGAACAAAAATAGCTCTAACCTCGCCAGGGATTCTCCAAGACAAATTCGTCGTCCTGTCAGAAATAAAATGAGATAAATTCTTTAATTCATTTATACAAACTAGTATGTATGGAACATTGTTACTTTATTTAGAAATTCGCGGCTAGACTGTCGGAAAGACGAACGTAAGACATAAATATATGATTGCACCTATTAATTGAAACAGTATGCCGAAAGGAACTTACACTGCACCTTACAGCTGTTTTGACCTTCTAGGGTTTCGGCAGTGATATTAGGTGTCAAAATGGTTGGACTCCAAATTGGTCTTAACTAATTTTGACACAGAAGGGGATGTGTGTAAATTCCCTTCATTATGTGAGTTTCACAAATTAGGGGAGTACCGTTTGATTTCAAATTAATAATGAATAAAGTGTGCATTTGATAAACAAGGCCGCTGCTCAAAAGAGATGACTTTCGCTATCAAGATTACGACAAAACTTTGGTACTTAAAAGGTCAACCAGCGAAGTCTACAACTTGTATCTTGAAAGATAATTGTAAGACACACACACACAGGTGATTAACCCTTCGGTAATCGATGCAGTATGCTAAAATTGAACTGCATTGCATCATACAGCTGTCCTGTCCATATTAGGATCCATTCCTTGATGCTTGGGGCCAAAGCGTTTGACATCCGAATTGGTCTTAAAGTCGATATAAACAATGAAAAATAGATATATATATTTATTAACAAAAAGCAAGCAAACAGATAAAAACATATCAATACCTAGAGAGAAAGCCATTACATTCCTTTCCTTGCCGTTCATTTGTCCGTCCTTTCCTAGAAATCTCTCGGGTTGAAACTGATCCGGATTCTCAAACAGATCTGGATCAGTCATAACGGAGTCAAGATTCGGAAGTATCGAGGATCCCTTTGGAATGATCATACTCCGGAAATTGATATCTTTCTTGGTCCCGTGAGGCACAGACAGTGGAGCGATGTTGCCCATCCGGAAAACCTCTGTTATAAATGCTCCGTAGTAAGGCATGGAGGGTTTGTCGCCGAGTGACGGAAGCCTGGACGTCCCGACCACAGCCTCTATCTCCTGTCGGAGCTTATCCTGGATAGGTTTGTTATGAATGAGGTAAATTATCGCCCAGCGAATAATGGTAGCTGTTGTGTCAGTCCCGGCGGTAAACAAATTCATAACGGAGATTGATAAGTTCATATCTATATCCGGACAAGAAATAAAAATAAAGTGTTAAGGCATAAGGATAACTGTAAAAAATGTATTTCAAATCACATTTTATCAAATGAAAGAAATGAAATAGTTTCTATCCCCCAAAAAATGAAATTAAGTTATGATGATTTATGATATTTGGATTATGTAGGTCAAAAGTTTGACAAATTCATATAAAAAGTGTTCTTAGATACCTTAAATATACAGGATAATTGGGAAATGTGCACATAACCCCTTTTAAACGTTAATAAAAATGAAATATCTCATTCAAACTTAATATATTTATTCCGGTTCTTTTTATTTAAAACTAGTTGAATCAAATTAAGAAAGCAAGAACAAAATATCAAACAGCGTTTAAAATAAACATTGTTGAAGAGTAATGATAATAATAATAATAATGATAATACACTTTTTTTATTGAGGATTAAAAAACCTGATTTAGCCAAAGTCTAACCTCGCGCAGGGTCCTCTATATTAGTTAAATGTGTTAGTTTCACATAGTATTTCTTAAAACATAGTAATATAAATTAAACATAAATGACATTTAAAATATAAGTTACGAGATTGCTGAAAATATTACATGCAATTATATAGTACAATACATCAAATATCACAGAAAGCATACATCTCAAGCTTTGAAGGTCTGATAATAGTTTTATAAAAATGGCCGGTGCCTTACATACATATATGCTAATATAGCAAAGTATAAAAATTACCAGGATATACGCTAATATAGCATAAATTAAAAACTATTTTCTTTATCTAAAAGTATGAATCACAGAAGTGCTTTAAAGCTCTATGCTTAAAAGTGTTAAAAGATGGAAATGCATTCCAAGTGCAATAATCTAATTATATATCTCTGCTACCTACCTTCAAATATCGGATCATGTTCGCCATGTTTGATTTGTTGTCCCAGAAACGCATCGATGAAATCTCGCTGATTCTCTTCTTCAAACGTTTTACGATGCTCAGCGATTTGTTCAAAAACGAAAGATTTGATATCGGTGAGATTTTGAGTCAACTTCCTTATATTAAACATATCCCCGGGAAGGAATCTTAATCCTGGAAATGATCGTATGGCCCCTCCAACCGAATTTAACCTAAAGTTCTCAGCGAAAAGTGACGTAAGTCGCTGGAATTTTGCGTCAGTGTATTCAAATCGGTTCCCGAACGTAATACTGCATATAATATTTGATATGGCCATGGTGGTCACTTCTTTCACGTCGTAAGGTTGTCCGTTTTGCTTTTCGATGATATCCAAATAAGCTTCTATTTCTTCTTGGACTCTTGATTCCAAAGACTTCTTTCCAAATCCAAAATTCCGAAGTGTGGACAGAGAAAATGTCCTGGTTTGTTTCCAGTGTTCACCGGATGAGGAACCAATACCTAAAAGTAAGATTATATACGATTTAAACCTGATTTAAAACATCAGATAAGATTTTAACATAAGTTTGTGTGCCATCGTTTATTTCTTAAGCGATGAAATTACGTTATATTTGATAATCTTATCTTTCTATATATCGTTGAAATAGTTGTGTAACTCCTAATGTGCGGGGCTTTACGATCTGTTCACCAAGTTCAGTGAACAACTTTGACAAAATCCATTTCCAAACGTACAATAAATTCATTGATGTGCACTCTTAGTTGTTTGTTTATTGTCTTATGCCTAATTCATCTGATCCGTTGAACGATGTTGTTTTAAACTACATGTACATGTACGTGTGGTGGTCTGTTTACAGTTGTCTGAATAAGGAGTCGTTTGATTATATAGTCGGTTGTGTAATTATGTACAAAATATGGTCAAACTTTATTAAACGACCACTGTTATTAAACGACCGGGGTTTTTTTTATTTCGCTTGTTTGGTACTTTCTAATTAACCAATCATAAACGGCACGCATACATGTATGTATGGGTTTTTATAAAAGTCTTTAAGATGGCAAATCTCTAGAACAAAACAGAGATAACAAACAGGTACCTAGCACCTCCATATTTTCATGGGGGGGGGGGGGGGGGATTATATATAAATAAAGCATAAATACGAAAATGTAATAAGCATATAATGTATGTCTTATTAATAAGTTTTTGCATTAGATTAGAAATCCATAAAATAATTTACGGAGACAAGAAACAAGCATAATTTCATTCAACATTTCTACCATTACATTGCTATACATGCTTGAAGACATTTGTTAGCATAGGGGAGAGCTGGATAATTATTCGTTTTGTCATTGTTTAGAAATGTAGTCAAATTGGGGTAAAATTGTGTTCTTTAGATTGATGGGAAGGAGACTTCTGCTGACATGCCATGCCCTGGGCGAATTAAGAGAACCGTTTGTTGTAAAACAAGACATATAAGAAAATGTTTGCTTCGTTATAAATATATATCTTAAGACAGTTTTATGTGTAAATAAACTATAATACCACATAAACGTAATATAGTTACATAGGCAATGATACATATAAAACTTCTTTTTTTATATATAAAGGGATGGTGCATTTTGGGGGGATACTCTATAATCTGATCTATATTGTCCTAGAATTCAGAAAGGGACTATATTTATCCATGTACTAATAAAATGTCCGTGGACTTGCAAAGATTATAGTTGTTCGTTACAAATACACATATGCTATACTGATATGGGTCACAGCACTCATAATAATGAAATGGGTAACAGCACATATAAGCATAAGCATACACATGAGTGTGTGCTGATATAGCACATGTGTATTTTAGACATTTGTAAAGAACCCCTGTGAATAGACTAAGCATTTTTACAATTTACCTTTAAAGTGAAAAAACGTTTTTGCAAAATGATTGCTTGGCCTGTCAGAGAATTCATCTGCACGCTTGACGAACGCTTCCTTTAACGCCTCTGCTCCATTGATGACTACGGTAAGCCTGGGCCCTATCTGTATACTAAAAACGTCGCCATATTGTGCTCGAAGTTTTCGGAATGTCTCGAGCACATTTCCCTTTCGCAGTAGAGGCATGCTTCCTACGATAGGATAGCCAGATGGACCTGGCGGGACATTGGCCGGCCATTGTAGTGTCCGACTGATCAGCAGTATCAACAATATAACAACGATGGCCACCGTCACACTACTAAAGCTGAGAAGCGAACTGAGATCCATGTTGGTTAGCCTCAGACGATGTTAACATCTCTTTCCCACTACGTGATGTGAAGTCTGGCTTACTGTCCTGTATATATAGGCATGGCGTCTTACATGTGCTATTATCAGTCAAAGGTCAGTTAAGGGCGGGTTCCATGTGTGTTGTGTAAGCGTGCATGCTTGTATGTGTGTTACATCCTGCGTAGATGCTTGTATCTGAATGTCTTATTGTGGATAAAGGTAAACGTATCCTTTTACATATAATTAAAAAAAAATAAAGTTTCAGGTATTTTATTAATCGTTTATTAAGCTTTACAATACGATGTAAACAACCCCGCTTCCCCTCAAGCACAATATTAGAAGGTCAATAATTAGAACGACATATAGTATGACGTTGTCGTCCTATACGTTGATATATAGATAAAATGTGTACTTAATATTCACCTTTGGGTGCGATGTACATGTCCCTATAGGACGTAAGTTGGGTTGTTTTGTGCTAGCAGTTTGTTTTGATGAGCTTCAAATGATGCAGAAATAACTAGAAACTGTCTTATTTCCTTTGTAAATATGTTCTTGCAAAAGTAACTTTCTTACTAGGTCGACATTCAATAGTATATTTGGTATTATTTTAGCCAACGTACTTTTTTTTATAAAAACAAACGCATGTTGTTCTCAGTGAACACGATATGATCAGGTCGGAAGGAATACAACGATGCAAAAAATGTAAACAAAAATGTAAAACAAAAATCACTTAAAAAACAAAAATTAAGTCTTACTATAAAAACTAATTATATTGGGTCATGTAATACGTTTGATTCACTAGTTAAATACTGTTAAAAATATTGACCTTCCACTACAAAAATAAAAGTGTTTTTGAGTAACTAAAATAACAAGCAATATAGATATGTGACTAGCTACACTAAGAAATGCTACAGTAATGAATGATTCAATAAATTTGAAATGTATGTATCTTCAACAATTTAAGTAACATAACATCTGGACAACTGTGACGTCACTGTAAATAACTTATTAATTTTCGAGTATAATACATTTCTCGATTGTGTTTTCAACGGTAAACATTCTCGGAAGAAAAAGCTAAAATATATTAAGTTACACGTATTTACAATTTACAAAGTAATAGATGATAACCATAGCTTAAATAGAACAGCAACACAGACAAAATCGAATAGAAGTAATTAGATACCTTGTTGAGGGAAGAGAGACAAACCAGAAAAACAAAACGAAGAAGAAAATAACATAAGAATGAAGATAAAATTAATAATTGATACAATTTTAGGAAATTTTTTTAAGTAAGCTCGTCTGTAAAATAACGGGGCATAAAGAATGTCGATTCAAAAATATATGCACAGAAACGCACATCATCCCATCCACGTAAATATGCCACAGTCAACAGGTCAATAAATAGAACGACAGATAGTTGTGACTAAGTCAACATCTATGTTGATCTAGGTGCACAGTGCAGGTCCTTGTACATGACGTGATTTGGGAGCTAGATTTAATTATTTTATCCCGTATAAGCATTTCTCGACTGAAGGAATTCAATTCAGTAAAAATTGAAGGGAGGGAATGATCTACTAAAATAGACTTCGTGACACATTTGAACTCTAACGGCTAGATTTGTTTTTAGCACAAACAGGAATTTAAAACTTATGGTGCGAGCTTTCGAAAACGTCTGTTTCCTTTGTCTCGCAAAGAGTCAAACGGCCGGTATCTCGACTCTAAACCGCTGGAAACCACAGGATTTTCAGCGGTTTAGTGGCTGATATAGAAAGTAACCAAAGGAAGCCGTACTGTATTATCCAAAAGACTTGTTTCAAGGACAGATATCAAAACTGCTTTTGAAAAGGACTTAAATGTGATAATCGTTGATTGGTGCAAAATAATCATTACGCTTTCTACCTTAAAAGTAGTGAAATATTGCCGAATCTCATACGGATATCACCTTTGAATAAAACAAAACATATGCGATAAAGAAAGAAACGTGCATCACCGTAATATTTAGGGATACATGAACTAATAGATAAACATGTTATGGTACTGGATTATTAAACTGTAGACTACCATCGCCGTTGTATCTGTCCAAACAGTTATGCAAACCCGGTTGTCTACATGCCATAAATGAATCTGTCGAGTATTCTGCCCAACCAGTTCTTTTCCCCGTTGCCATCCAATGTTCCGAGTGTGCATACACTCGGAAACCGTATCTGTTCCGAACGTACAAACCTGGATTCCTCGGAGTGTTGACCCAATCACCGTTCAGTAGTACTTTTGTAGGAGTGTCTCCATTTTTCAGTAATGATTTTGAATCCATATCATGTTGTCCGTACAATTCAACGTGCCAGTGCTTGCTGGAAATGACTATTTTACCACCAGTTGCAACACCGTCTTCTGTCCATTTGGGTTTCTCTGCAATATTCAAAATGTACCCTTTCATTTTAAATAGACCTGTTAAAAATGTCAATGCTGAAAAATTCGAGGAAAGAAAAGTAATATCAGCGTCGCGTTCCCATGGCAATATCTTATCAAGTTTAACTGCTCCTAAGAGCGTGCCTTCCTGTAGTTCACAGAGTGCACCAACCTTGCGACAGGACTCCATGATGAATTTAACCAAACTTGCAAGCTCCTCCAAGCAACAAGGTGAAACGGAAAATCCTTTCCAAAATAAACATTTATAATCAATTGGACAATCGATATTTATTTCCTGTCCCATCGATAAAATAATTCGCCGCATGTTCCATTTTCTGCCGAACATTTTCCAGTCGTCTTTATGAAGGTTGGTTAATTGTTTGGCCACATAAAACATGGTGTCAGGGCAGACAAAAGAAGTAGCATGATGTTCATGTTGAAGTCTCAGAAAGAAATCCTCCATGAACCCAGATGCAATGATGTGTTCATCGAACCGCACATTCTTGAAAAGTTCAGTCTGGATGAGAAATGGGCCTTCTATAAAATCACACTGGATGCACTCGTGTAAAGACATTGTGTAGCCGTCTTGTAGCACGAGGGTATAATTCTGGTACACCATTTGATGACATCCCTTTCTCCAATAGCCATTTTCGTCTCGGGTGGCGCCACCTACCACAGATGCGTTTAAGCCTTCTATTTCTCTGACCATTCTTTCTATGTGCGAGTCACGATCCAGTCTCAACAAGTCACGTGCAATGAGCGTATACTTTGTACTGACCAATGAGGCAAACTTGTTCAGCATTGCTCCAGGAGAAACTTCGTGGCCGAAACATACAATGTTGATATTCCCAAGCTGCTTGAAGTCCGATGGTTTTTTAGAGGAAGCTATAGCAACTATTACAGATACATTTCTGTTGTGTACTTGAATAGATCTTACTAACTTATCCACGGAGAGTGGGGTGTGATGTGATTCCTGACATATTATGATGATGCTGACCAAATCTTCCACAGGAACTCGGTTTTTACAATTCTCAAATGCAAACCCCGTGTGGAAGAAAGGGTATCCGAATGAGGTTCCGTGGTATACTTCGGGACAAGTACTGTTCGATTTCCTATTTCTTGATGGAACGTCTATATGGAACTCCTTTAAAACATTTTTGAATAGATCTAGTGCTTTAAGCATTGCCCCTTTGGCCTTACTTGAACGAATGTGCATGTTAGCTTCCAGCAGTGACTGTGCAGAAAGCTGTAACAACTTCCTAATGCGCATTTTCCGTGTTGCGATGACGCTCTCATCCTTAAGTGTACCCCTAGGGTTTGGATACTTGGTTTGTTGATCTGATGTTACTGTGTATTTGTAATCGTTCCTTCTGCTTTCGATATCGATCAGTTTATAAAGGATGATGATCACTAAAGCACACCCTATAATAAGTCGTAGCACGCCCCATCGTATATGAATCCGCTTCATACTATGATGTACACAATTCACCTGTAAAAGAAAATACTTATTTTTTTTAAAAAGAAAAGCATTTTTTTTTTTTAATACTTACAAGTCTAATGGCCTGAGTGCATAAGGGAATTAGGAAACATGCAAAGCCCTTAAAGTCCCCTCATGATTTTTAGAGACGGAAATTTGACAAAATAAGTCATCATGGCTATAACCTAAGATAGAAGCAATTTTACCGTTCAATGGTGACTGTTTTATTTCATTAGAAGCGAATTTTCTCTTACATATATCTAGATTAACATTTGATATGCATCATCACAGATGTCGAAAGGTAGTTGAATAAAACATAACCCATTGGAATTTCAATGATATTAACATGCATGTGACTAGAACACGTCTGACCTGATTTATGAACAGTGGTATATTGTGGCATAGACATTATTAGACATTCTATGTGCTAGCCTGCTATATGGTATATATAATATATGTACTCAGTCATTAAGAAAGTAAGCAAAATATAAATTATTATGAAAACCCTATTAATTTCTTGATATCCTTGATAAAGCTTTCCATAGTTTATTGCCTGTTTGATAAAACATATAACATCAGATACACATGTGTATATAACTTAATATGAATAATTACAATCGATCAAGGATATGAAACGATGACATACCTGGTCAAGGTTCAATAAATATACCCTGGATCCTGTTCCGGGAGTCGACGTCATCAACATGTGATGAGAAATACTGCGTGAGGCTGAGATGGCAAAGACGTGATAAGTTTAAAAATAGAAAACTTACCTTAACTATCAGAACCGGTACCACGACAAGATACCAGGTCCATAACAATATAATTAATGATGTACAGCAGCACCAAATCCCATGTTCATCTGACTGGTTGTGACATCATTTATGCAAATGTATTCTTCTCATCTACATGAACGTTCATAGAAAACTTAATTAGATATGCATATTTCTTATTTGTTATGCCTAAGGGTATATGAGACAGAGTTGTAAATAGCTTAATAGGGTAAACTTCACGTGAATTTCACACAAAAATTCACAAATTTTAAGTTTGATTTTTTATTCAACAGAAAGTGTCATTGTTGAATTGAGTTTTTGAGGGGGACGAATTCGAGGTCCAGGTCATGGATACTCGGATTTCGATTTTGATAATATAAAAATCATATATAAATTTCTTCTTAAGCTGACTAATCTTTACACAACTTTAACCAGAATCCAGTTATTATGACCTTGTCAGCTTTTTTTAGCACATTAAAAATTTACGGAATATAAGTAAATTTGTGTATATTATCTAAAGTTTATCATTTTGAATACAAACTCTGGCTTATTTTGATATTTGTTTTAAAACTTTCTTATAAATAAATACATGTAGATTCAATTTTTACGTTGACTCATTAAGGTGCTGATTCCTATAACAACTTTGTCCGGATATCAATCTGATAACAGCTGTGATATCCTCAGCATTATTAACTTAATAAACCGAATAGTTCCATGACATTTTTTTTTATATCTAACAAGAATTACATGGGTTTTTTTGTTCTAGATTGCCATCTTATAATTAATTTTATATATCAGCCTCTGGTTATAACTAATATCGTGTATAGCACAGATACACAAAAACAAGTTTGTGCTGGTTTTATACAGTCAGCAAACTAGAGGACATTTATGAATAGTAAAACAAATAAGTTGTAATCTTATAAAATCGTCTAGTATCTATAACGATACTCTGAATCATCTTGAGAATACTTGATATCCATCCAGAAAAAGTCTGAGATTTAGTATAGAAAGAACAACTTACAGTTTAAATACCGGACAGATTTTTTGTATCATAGTTTTACTATTTACACAAAGTGCCCATCAGCCGTGTCGAAACGTTCAAGGTATGACCAACCGGTGTTGAAACATTGAAATACGTTTGGTGCGCACATTGTTTGTGTATAAAGTTACTCCGACACATACTGAAGATAAGTTTATTTATTACCTGGAAAGAGTAAATTTTAGTGCCACTGATATTGATGTCAATTAAAGTATAAACTGTTTACTGGAAGTATTAAGCTCAGATGAAGTACTTCAGCCCTTGACACATGCATTTTCCATAAATCCGCGATTGCTTTTATAAGTAACATATGTATTTAGGTCTATTTTATCACAGAATCAGCTGTGTGCGCCATGTCATTATCATAGCTGTCTGGGTCAATGTCTAATACCGCTGAAAGAGGAATGGCATCGATAGTTTTTTTGAAATGCAGAGATAGAAAACGAAAGGCAAATGTTTTGAACATACTAAACCTATATCTAATAAGCAAGATATTACTGATTTCACTTTCCTTTTGACGTGGGTTCGATCAGTGTCTTGTGTATAGCAGCGATATCGTAGATGGCCAAAAACCTCGTAACTTTTCCAATCCAGCTGTTTTAGCAGACTCCTGATTCCACAAACTCGTTCTCCTTGGTGCCCGGAAGGCTTGTGAGGCTGCCGAATAGGAAAGGTGCTATCTTGTGCATTTCTACATCACTGAAGAATATCTCGCCATGATGTACACCATAACTAGAACCTCGAGATCACAGGGGTGACATTAAATGACATAAAGAACAACGGAGAACATTCCTTTATTTTTCTTATGTAAATGTGCATCATAAGTTCAGTCTAAACTCATGGTATTGTATAACCTCCCAATGTTGATAGTATCGCCAGATATTTAAACTTTTTTACAGTCTAAATCTTCGTTGACAATGTCATAAATAAAACATTGCGGTGTTGATGATATGTGGTCCGTTAAACTTATAAACAAGAACTGGCATGTTCTTTACACATAGACATATTGATCTGGTTCCATCTGTACATGTCTCGGTTAAAAATGTCAATGGACGATGCTTTAGCAACTGACTGGTCAGTTGCACCATTTTGGGAATCGCCTGCATATGTAGCCGTACTTGAAGGCGTGAATCGTGGGTTGAAAGCGTTGGAGAGAACAGAGACGTGTATACTACAATGGCTTTATATGACTGGAGAGAAGGAGCCTTTTGCCTGCTACTGAATCGATCAGTTATTCTTTCCCTGCTTCAAGGCTTTCCATCTTGCTCGCAAGTGATGTGTGTAAGGCCTATAACATTCATTTGAGATGGGGGATTCTAAACTGCGCTACAGTCTCTAAGAATGACCTGACAATGGTGGCAGACATCTTAGCTAAAAGTCTGGTGCATGTCGTAGGTTATGTCTTAACATGTCGTCGCTATGATGTCAAGGTGCATGTTCGCCTGAAGATAAAGACTGGTAGTAACGTTTAGATATTGAGTTGATTGGATTTCGTCGAGCTTGGAAGCTTCCAAATTGCTGCCGATATTCGGTTGCTGGGGCGACGGACCTGCATACTTCTTATCATCCAATCCTGCGTTCATAGCGTTTCTTGTCTACCTGCAGGATGGGTTGGTCTTCAATATGTTCAACCCCTCATCCCTAACCCACCCTTGATAGATCAACAAATACGAACCATGTGATGTGTGTTTCCTTGAAGATCGTTAGGACATGCACACGAAGCTTAGGCTACTAGCACGTTTTGGAAACTTGATTTATCTCCCTTGGATCAACCATTCATCAGCTTATCAGAGTAATTTTTTGCATAATCAATTTTACCTTAATCTTCAATGTTAAAGCTTGGGTGTGATTTGGAAGCAATACAGATGGAAAAGTCTGAAAACAATACCACATTTTAACGAGTGTTTTGCTAAAAAAAAGATCAAGTCCAGAACAAATCCTTTTAATGCTTTCTTACAAGCTTCAATGGCCTTGTCATCCGAAATGCTTGTAAATCTATCATGATTTTCTTTTTATCTTTTGATGTCATTTTGAATAACAGAAAATGTATAATGTTTTAAATCTTTTTTAAACCATTGAAGTTAAGTGATTCAGAATTTGCCTTCATTTAATCATTAAACCAATTCATCTTGATACAACAGAATTCAGGCCTCAAAATCATAAAATAAGCTTTGACTTGCAAATTCAAATTTCAAATGTTTAACAGATTAATGTTTCTCTTTGAATTCAGTAAGACGTTGTGAAATGATACACATTAACAGTTTTTAAGAATAAAACTGTTTCTGGATATGAAATATGCATAGAACACTGAGAAACTAGTTCACTAAGAAAATCGGACTTGTGAAGTTATGTCTAGATTTATGTATGATCTTTGGCCATGTTAACTTAATCATCTATGAAAAATAAGAACAAACACAGCGGTTTCTAGTTCACACACCTTTTTAATGATCTTCCCTTGGAAGTTTTTCATAATGTGTATATATTTATAATATTACTGATGTCAGGCCCATGTCTGTAATGTATTTGTAACATGGACTCCTAAACTACATGTCCCATGACTGTTATACAGGGTCATGTGACTTTACACAAATCACATGACTTAAACAGGTCACATGACCTTCGAAACACCGACAAAAAAATTGTGTGGTATGATTAATTTTCCTTTGGAAAAGTTGTAGGGTGGGTGGAATGCATTTGTACCTGTACAATCTGTCGACTCTGTAAATAATGTAACATACTCAAACAGTTTCTGGAGTGACAAGATACTTAAATAGTGCTTATTATACTCAGAATTAATTATTATATTAGTTCTTATAACAAATGTCTGCACTAATGCTAATCAAAGACTTTGTAATGAATGAAAATCATGAATTTGTGAAAAAAATAAAATTTACATATTTTTGACTTTAAAAAAACTGTTTCTGACCAAAAGCTGATATTCAGTTTCTCCATTTTGAAAAAGACCTTTCATTCAGGTGATGTAGAATGATTTCATTACCGGAAGTATGAACAAATTTGGGTTATTTCATTTTGTAGAATGGATACACATAAAATGCATTTTGTCAACAATACCTTTAAATCTGAATTAGTATCTTTAGTAAAATGTTAACATTAGCAATTTAATGATAATTTCCACTGATAACAAATCTTAAAATATAACAGTTATATTACTAAAACAATTCAACAATGGAAAAAAAATGAAAACTTTTCAGATCAGATAGATTCTCATGAAAATTTACCGAAACAATTTGATGAGAGCAGATAAAATTTGTAAAACTTTAAAAATTACATGCAGCCCACATTTCCATGCATACAAAATATGAGTGACACATTATGGTGCATTTCTAACAAGCAATCATTTACAAGAAGAAAATTTAGCTCGAATTGGAGAATCTAGAATGACATGAATTACCTTCTTGTAAGACAACAGTTCCCCCCTATTTTTTTTCAAAATACAATTTTTTATGTCATCTATCCCCATTGAACAAAATGTACTAATCCAATATGCATGAACAAGCCAGTCCATTTTAGAAATACAGGGTAGAAGTTATACCACCCTTATTATTTTGGCAGTAGTTAGATCCTCACAAAGTAGTGAAGGACCTGCGGTAGCAGACAGGAGAAGACACACAACTATGTATAATTATGTTTATTACAGTTTTTCAGATATTAAACATAACATACAATGCAGCTTACATATTTCTCTTTCAAGATTGGGGCATTCCAACCCTGACCTCAACTCAAATATACAACTTAATTAAATTAAACACTTTGTCTCCTCAACAAGACATATAAAATATAATCTGTTTTTAATATGAATGGGAAATAATACACACATTGCATGAATGCAAATAAATTATCACGATATAAAATAAGACATTTAAAACCTTACTATGGATAAACTAAAATGGAAACTTTTATGACTTTTGCACCGTTTTATACATATTAGCGTTTTACACAAAAGACAATTTGGGAAAAAGAAATTGTACAACTGGGAAACAAAGTTATCTCCCTTAGCCCACAAACCTATGAAGGTATGATTTTTTTTCTGTACATCTTTTCACATTTTTCCTCTCTGGAATATTTTTTTTTCAAAAGGATTCCTGATCTTATATACACATTTTCACACATAAGATTGTTCTTCTTTGTACATCTAACGTAGGGGGTTTCATTTACACAAATCTGAAAACAAAATAAACAATAATAGCAAAGGATTTCAGGCATTTCCAGCCTGTGCAACAACTCAAAATTAATACTTCAACAGGTAAACGTAATAAAAAGCGTTGAGACATTGTTAAAAATTGAAACAGCATTGATGTATTTAGCAATATCTGTTAACAGAATCAATTCTGGCATGTTAAGAAAAGAACAAAATTTACATAAAATAAATAATGATAAGTTTATTTTTTTCCTTTTTTGTCAGTGTGAGATCCAATCTTCCATTTTGAATTCTTCTTTGTTTTAAATAACTTTAACTGTCAGAAAATCCTGTAGTTGCAAATGAAGCAAATAATGCAAAATGGCAATTAAAATAAAGATGATAATGTTGCAAATGTTCTCTAATGATTTACATATGTCTTTGTATTGCATATGGAAGATGAAATAAACATCGTAACATGTTGCCTAGGTTACAGAATAATTATATAACTTCCTGTCTGGGCCCGGATACATTCCTGTGATATAAATCAACTAGATAAAACATGGAATTTGTAAGCAATGAGGACTCACGAAAAAGTAAAATCCTTCTCCAATATTTTCCTCTCACACGCAACAATATCACTCTTGTACAATATCATTTCGGCAGCTCGATCTCAAACTCACCTCATGCTTACACAAATGTGTCGACAAGCACAATTCCATGAATTCGAAAAAAATATATATCTGAACACATTATTTATCACAATATCCTTCTGTTGACTCATGTGGCGTTCATCAGGGATGCATAATTGCTGACTCAGAATCGACTGTCAGGAATGCTCTAACACGAAACCTGACTCAAAGCCATTTGTCAGGGATGCGCCCACATAATGCCCGACTCAGTGTCGTTTGTCGGGGATGCTCCGGCGTAATGCCTGAATCTGTTCCTGTCCGAGTGTGATTTTGTCCTCCAGGTTCTGGTGCTCGACAGTGAGCGTCGATTTCATGTTTATGTAGTACTGATAATCTTCGAGTTCCTGGTCGCTGAGCGATTCCTGCAGTATTGCTAAGATCTGTGCACTCCGTTGGTCAATGTCCTGTTTCAGCTTCTGAGCCTCTTCATGCTGGTCCTTATAACGATCTCTCTTCTGCGTTGCTATGTCCTGTGATAAGAAAGCAAAATCTCGTTTTTTATTCTATATTATTCAATTCATAAAATGTTAAAGTGTAAACTAGTCTTTCCTCAAAATAAACTATTTGGATTAGTCATGTTCTCTGTATTTCAGTACAGTGTGCATTTAGCGATACTTTTTACCTGGGGTGCCTCTAGATTACCATTACCTTTATCAATTATTTTAGACCACATTTGAGGTCAATCACATTTCCCCCAATGCTGGAAGTGTAACCTGCATTAACCAGCAAACTGGGATTAAAAATGCTGTCAAACATTCATGACCTCGTAGCTGAACTGAGGGATCCTTGAATATAACATACTACTACATGTTCTACTAACAGATTCACTTGTGCCATAAAAATAACCATTTTGTACTGTCTAGATAATATTCTCACAAATTATCACCAGTCATTGTGCCCTGTTGTTTTACCGTACCTATCACCAGTCATTGTGCCTTGTTGTTTTAACCTACCTATCACCAGTCATTGTGCCTTGTTGTTTTAACCTACCTATCCCCAGTCATTGTGCCTTGTTGTTTTAACCTACCTATCCCCAGTCATTGTGCCTTGTTGTTTTAACCTACCTATCTCCAGTCATTGCGCCCTGTTGTTTTACCCTACCTTTTGATGGACGTCACAGGCTTCAGGAAGACCCTGCAGTGCATTTTCAGCGCGTGCAAGCAGACCGGAAACTTTGAGGAGGAGGCGAATGATGTGGTCCTTCTCTTTCAGGAACGTCTGGAACTTATCTTTTTCCATTGTGCCTTGTTGTTTTAACCTACCTATCACCAGTCATTGTGCCTTGTTGTTTTAACCTAGCTATCACCAGTCATTGCGCCCTGTTGTTTTACCCTGCCTATCACCAGTCATTGCGCCCTGTTGTTTTACACTACCTATCACCAGTCATTGCGCCCTGTTGTTTTAACCTACCTATCACCAGTCATTGCGCCCTGTTGTTTTTCCCTACCTATCACCAGTCATTGCGCCCTGTTTTTTTTCCCTACCTATCACCAGTCATTGCGCCCTGTTTTTTTTCCCTACCTATCACCAGTCATTGCGCCCTGTTTTTTTTCCCTACCTATCACCAGTCATTGCGCCCTGTTTTTTTTCCCTACCTATCACCAGTCATTGCGCCCTGTTGTTTTCCCCTACCTATCACCAGTCATTGCGCCCTGTTGTTTTCCCCTGCCTATCACCAGTCATTGCGCCCTGTTGTTTTACACTACCTATCACCAGTCATTGCGCCCTGTTGTTTTAACCTACCTATCACCAGTCATTGCGCCCTGTTGTTTTAACCTACCTATCACCAGTCATTGCGCCCTGTTGTTTTCCCCTGCCTATCACCAGTCATTGCGCCCTGTTGTTTTACCTTACCTGTCACCAGTCATTGCGCCCTGTTGTTTTACCCTAACTATCACCAGTCATTGCGCCCTGTTGTTTTACCCTGCCTATCACCAGTCATTGCGCCCTGTTGTTTTACACTACCTATCACCAGTCATTGCGCCCTGTTGTTTTAACCTACCTATCACCAGTCATTGCGCCCTGTTGTTTTACACTACCTATCACCAGTCATTGCGCCCTGTTGTTTTCCCCTGCCTATCACCAGTCATTGCGCCCTGTTGTTTTACCATACCTATCACCAGTCATTGCGCCCTGTTGTTTTTCCCTACCTATCACCAGTCATTGCGCCCTGTTTTTTTTCCCTACCTATCACCAGTCATTGCGCCCTGTTGTTTTTCCCTACCTATCACCAGTCATTGCGCCCTGTTGTTTTTCCCTACCTATCACCAGTCATTGCGCCCTGTTGTTTTAACCTACCTATCACCAGTCATTGCGCCCTGTTGTTTTACACTACCTATCACCAGTCATTGCGCCCTGTTGTTTTTCCCTACCTATCACCAGTCATTGCGCCCTGTTGTTTTACCCTACCTTTTGATGGACGTCACAGTCTTCAGGAAGACCCTGCAGTGCATTTTCAGCGCGTGCAAGCAGACCGGAAACTTTGAGGAGGAGGCGAATGATGTGGTCCTTCTCTTTCAGGAACGTCTGGAACTTATCTTTTTCCTTCTGGCTCTTACATTTCTGTTCTACTGTTTCTGACACCTATACAAAAAAAGATGTCAAAGTCAAAGAATTGGAACAAATACAACCAAAAAATGGAGAAAACATTAAACTTTGAGTATAACTTCCAAAAGTTTTCAAATGAACTGAGCATATATTATTCATCTATTGATCTGTCAAAGTGATAAAAGGAAGAACCAACCTTAATTAACTCATTCATCCCTGAAGACACATTTAAACTCTTTCAATTCAAATGTTGGAATAGTTCATTATGAAATATCAGGGGTAAATGAGTTAAAATTTCTAATAAAATAGCTTGATAATAGAGATCATCAAAGAACAAACTGTTTTGGTCTTCATAAATTTGCCCTTGATAAAAACACCAGAGATATAAACTTTCAATATAATTATGATTTAACTGAAATGATAAACCTTACCATTTTCCCCATAGTGTCGACTTCTTTGATTTCAATCTGTAAACCTGATTTTTCATCCTTCAGCTTATCCATTTTTTTCACTATACTTGACACCAACTCCTCCTGTAAAGATGTACCATTGGTTAAAGCTTAGTAGGCTAGTATACAGTGATCTACTAACTCTACTATTGGTTAAAGCTTAGTAGGCTAGTATACAGTTATCTACTAACTCTACCATTGGTTAAAGCTTAGTAGGCTAGTATACAGTTATCTACTAACTGTACCATTGGTTAAAGCTTAGTAGGCTAGTATACAGTTATCTACTAACTGTACCATTGGTTAAAGCTTAGTAGGCTAGTATACAGTTATCTACTAACTGTACCATTGGTTAAAGCTTAGTAGGCTAGTATACAGTTATCTACTAACTGTACCATTGGTTAAAGCTTAGTAGGCTAGTATACAGTTATCTACTAACTGTACCATTGGTTAAAGCTTAGTAGGCTAGTATACAGTTATCTACTAACTGTACCATTGGTTAAAGCTTAGTAGGCTAGTATACAGTTATCTACTAACTGTACCATTGGTTAAAGCTTAGTAGGCTAGTATACAGTTATCTACTAACTGTACCATTGGTTAAAGCTTAGTAGGCTAGTATACAGTTATCTACTAACTGTACCATTGGTTAAAGCTTAGTAGGCTAGTATACAGTTATCTACTAACTGTACCATTGGTTAAAGCTTAGTAGGCTAGTATACAGTTATCTACTAACTGTACCATTGGTTAAAGCTTAGTAGGCTAGTATACAGTTATCTACTAACTGTACCATTGGTTAAAGCTTAGTAGGCTAGTATACAGTTATCTACTAACTGTACCATTGGTTAAAGCTTAGTAGGCTAGTATACAGTTATCTACTAACTGTACCATTGGTTAAAGCTTAGTAGGCTAGTATACAGTTATCTACTAACTGTACCATTGGTTAAAGCTTAGTAGGCTAGTATACAGTTATCTACTAACTGTACCATTGGTTAAAGCTTAGTAGGCTAGTATACAGTTATCTACTAACTGTACCATTGGTTAAAGCTTAGTAGGCTAGTATACAGTTATCTACTAACTGTACCATTGGTTAAAGCTTAGTAGGCTAGTATACAGTTATCTACTAACTGTACCATTGGTTAAAGCTTAGTAGGCTAGTATACAGTTATCTACTAACTGTACCATTGGTTAAAGCTTAGTAGGCTAGTATACAGTTATCTACTAACTGTACCATTGGCTAAAGCTTAGTAGGCTCGTATACAGTTATTTACTAACTGTACCATTAGGCTAGTATACAGTTATCTACTAACTCTACAACATTTCAAAGCTGTGTTATATTCCATGAATCATAGTATGAATAAAAATTTGTATAGATATTAATTCTTTAACGTTTTATTTTTTTATGTTCATTACGCAAATTTTTCAAAATTCCAATTCAAAACCTTGTAGGAAAATAAATGGTACTAGCTGCTTTCACGTTTGCTTACTGATAACTACAAAGTAATTTCCGAAGGACAAGACATTCTGGTCTGTATTTGCAGTAAAATACCTTCCCTGAGGTACAGAAAAAAAGTTAATCTCGAAAATATTAAAAGGAAATTGACCAAACTGACCTTAGTTCTAATGAGGCTTTCTGGATCCACTATATCCTTCCTCATCTTCTTTCCGAGCTCTTCACAGTTACGGATGTCAATTTCTATCTGGGCCTTGGATGGGCACACCCAGTAGTTAGATGGGGGCGAGCCTTTATCCCTGCAGAAACAAAAGTTGTATAATTAGTTTATCCATTAAATATGTAAACTGTGAGAACCTACACACTATTAAATTTATAATCATTTGTGAGGGGCTGGCAGCCTCACTTTAACCATTAACTTAGCAAGTTAAGGTTGTATGCAACCTTACACAATATACCTGCTATATGTGTGAGTTATCTCCCATGAAAAAAATGTTAATTTTCTTTTTCTGATAAATCAAAATTACTTATGTCGTCAATGCATGTCATTTTGTGTACTTTTCATATGTGTCATCAATTCTTGTGAACTTTTCCAACATGTGTTATCATTACTTGTGTAACTTTTAAATGATGAATCAATTCATTAACCAAGACCATTAAAACATTAATGAAAGATATTTCAATGATTTCTCTGTGGGGAGCTCTTTTAAAAAAGGAGATTACATGTAACTGTAGGGTAAAAAGTGCTCTAAGACGATTCGATCATCACATCCTATATGTATAAGAACCTGGATTATCAGATATCCTATGTGTTAGGGATTTGATTTTAAGTAAGTGTGCACGTATAATATCCCATTAACCAGTCATTCAATCACATTAATCCTAAAAACTATACTTTTCAGTGATCTGTATACATGTACACCTAGTTAGCACTCAACATTATGATTTTACTGTTTGTCAAAGGGAGATAATTTTATAATTTTTTTTCAATATTTATGAAAATTCTGAAGTTCATATTTATAAAAGCCAATTAAAAGATAAACTAAATCGGTGATACTATCTGGTAATTAGAGAAAAAGCATCTTTAAACACTTTGCTGAGAACGTCTTTAAACATCCCACCTGCTAGCTTGCATTTCAATGATCCTAATTTAGTGATATGATGGACGGCTTAGTTCAAGGATGAAAATCACATACACAGAAAACCAATCAAATTTCATGTCACTTTCAAATGAATATCAATGAAATGGCACTATCCTTAGTTTCACAACAGACATGAACTGTTCTTAGTGATGCAGCTTCTGTTTTAAAATCCCAAGTACCCAGAGTTATGTTTGAATATCCACCATTGAATCTTCACAAACTCTCTAGCTCATTTTAATTTTAGGAAGTGCACTCCACTGAACCTAGACACTGTAGAATGCTCCTGCTGAAAACTCCAAATGTTAGCTTCATTGAGCTGCACCGCGACAACTCGTCACGGAAACTATACAAATTCTTCTATTTCAAACTTCAATTCATGAGTTACAGCATTGCCATGCTGAGTAGCTCCAGCTCATACCCGGAACTCAAACCGCATCCCAACACTTCGGTCTATATTCATATTTCATAAAAAATGCACTTCAAAATCTTCAAACAGGAAACTCTGCCAATGCGTCTGTTTCAAACTCAAATGTTTTACGTTAAAAGCTTATAAAATAATGACCCAACTGTGTAGGCCGTCACTTATAAAAACTAGCATACACATATAAATGTTCATGTAGCTTAGATCACTGGCGCTGTGCTACGCTCCAAGTTACAGAGATTTACGAGATGTATTTTGTCTTAGAGTAATCTCTTGCTCTCCAAGGAAGAGATTTCCGCCTAACACCGTCTAATCTTCGATAGCATCTTGCCAAAAATTGCCAAAATAAACTACACATACTATGATAAGCAGCACTACAGAGAATTGGGTGAGCACTCCATCATTTCTCAGGACTTTTACCAAAAACAAAGGAGAATAAATTCTAAATCTGACAGACATATTATACAAGCAAGTTCATGCATTAGATGGAAGGACTAGTAAGCCAATCATTTCAATCATTTCAACCCCCTTCCCGTCAGACTCTTCATATAAACAAATCCCCCTACCCCTATACCTACTCCAAAAAGACTGAAATTTAAAAATAAAACAGATGTGGCTAAAAAATATTGAGGTGGTTTTTTTTTCATAATGAAGACATGCCCGAAATATTCTGACACACAACCCCCCCCCCCCCAAATCCTCTTAACCGAATTCATACGAAGGACACGCATTGCTAAGGGAACAAGCATAAGAAACACTATTGTTTTTGACACCAATATCATAAATAATCATCTTGTCTCCATTATCATAAATAATCATCTTGTCTCCATTAATAATTAACCCTTAACTATATGTTTATATGAACATTGCCAGATTGATCATGTTTTTTGCAGAAAGAACGTTTGTTTCCCTTGGCATTAGTTGAGTCCACGTTTTCCAAATCAACTGGATCACGAGTACTCTTACATCTAATGACAACAGAGTACTAAAAACAAATAGGGCTCTAGATCTGTACACAGAAAACTAGACTGGCCACCAGCCCCTAAGTTTGTATGAAGTTATTTTTTTTTCTTAATTATTTAATATTCTAGAGCCTGTGGCCAGTCTAACAGAAAACTAGAGACTGTAGCTTAAGGCCATCCTAAAGAAATCTGTGTTTCTTACAAGCAGATACAATATTTACGATTTTTTGTTGTTGAAAAACTGTTAATACAGCAATATCAAAACAACTTCATGGTCATGCCCCAATCTTTTAAAGACTGGCTTTATGGACACTAAACCCCGACAAGTTTCAGCTGGTTATACATTTATATTAAGTCCCCTTGTACAAAAAAGAAACATCTATTGAGCATGGAGATATACACAACAAACAATTTTTTATGTCTGGCCTAAGTTGTAGTACTAAAGGAACACAGGGTATACCTCAGTGTCTGCCAAAGATTGGTGCCTTATTAAATCCCTTGATTAAGTCAAGTACTTGACCTTGACCTTGGCAACCATCCCAAATCACCTATGGACCCTGTGTTGCTGATGTTGGTTTTACCCAACCATATATATTTAATGCATACAGTACTAACACAAATAGGGGAGGGCAGGTGACATGGCATCAAGATTTGGTTTTGACAAATGTTTTTAGCATTTTTCCCCAATAGATAATTTCCATAATTAACTACAAATAGACCTTTTAAGATATTATTTTATCATTTGGAAATGTTTTTCAAGTAACACATCCCTCTTCAACGGGACATACATACAAGATTTCATCCGACCCCGACTTAAACCATTTCAATTATTGTCAATTATGACAGCTTTTTCCATCAAAGACAAAGTATCATTACCGTAACATCTCATTTCTTTATCTTAGCACTGCTGTACTTTCATTCAGAAGACTTAATTAAAACGTGAGTGTACAATTTATTCTGTACTCCAAGTGGACGGAAAATGATCATGATCTCCCGTTTTATAGGTGCTCTTCTAGAAGTGTGTAGATCTGTTTGTAGATTCATGTAACATGCTTTACGCTACAACCTCTTATCCTAATGACTTCCCCGTAAAGTTTCCTGATATATATACCCTGCAGTATCAGTGTATATACCTCATGCGTTTCCTTTTCTCATTCAAGATGAAATTTTTATTTATAATATTTAAAAACAAAATCTTTTTCTCTAGGTTTAAATGTTTTAAGTTTAGATTAAATTTCGTAGATTTTGCTGAAGCAACATTTATTTGATCCATGTGCCAGACAAGTGAGCAATAAACCATTATTGAAATGGACAGAAAAATTTAAAATACTGAAACTGATTTTACTTTCCTGAACTAGAATAATAGTAAATCTGCATTCAGGAAATTGTCAAAACAGTGTGGAAGGGTGATATGTAATGATTTTGTTTTATTTGCTAAGAATTACTTCCCTTGGCAAGATATTCATCGACCATTTTTATACTCTGAATTCCCGGAATAGCAACAATAGTGTCCAGATTGAATCCTTGATTTTTAAAAACAATTCCTGCTTACTTTTATTTTTACGCAACTATTTGTTTTGTTTTCAACTACTCAAATTTTAAACAACTAATCTAGTAAAATGCATCACAAAATGTGTTTTGCATGACTTACATCTTTAGAAAACGACTTCAGTGAATATTTTATAAAAGTACCTTTGGTATTTATTTATTTGGTAGTTAGTACTCTTAACCTCATTCAGTGATGGTTGTATACTACACAGTGTACTGAGAAACACAAACTAACGCCCAAACGCTCTAGAACTGTTTCTACCGAGACACATATCTAAGACAGTGACTTCCCTTCCCCCTGCACTCCTGGGTACTGAGTATTTTCTGTATGTTGTATGAATTGAGGATTGGACAGAACTAGCAGCACATTTATTATCGGGACTACTCACCATCTGTTTATACATATGTAATAATTATAGGTTTACAGAGCTTTTTGGTTGAAAAGGTCATCGTCGGGCACCTAATCTCCCTGTCTACAGCTGTTAAATATTACATGTATTTTGTGTCTGAAATAATTGGGGGAACACTATGGGGATACAAGTTGAATTTTTTAGATTCTAGCATACAACCAATTTTGTTTACATGGAAGTATATACAAAACTACATTAACACCATTTTAAAAACAGTAAGATATATGTAATAGAATATTTTATTTGGCATATTTCTTCAGAAATTAGAAACTTTCACCTTGTGGGGCCCTAACCAAGGATTTACCACAAATATGTGTTCATAGTAGAGAAAAGTATAGGATCACTCCTTACTAAAGTGTTTTCAAAATGAAACGCTATTGTAACCGAAAAATGGGAACATCTTGAATAGTGTGTTAATATATCATTTCTATTTCCTTTAAAGATCTTAAAGTTTGACGATGAAAAAAGGAGAGACAGAACAGGCTTTCACCTAGATTTTTCTTTGACAAAATAAAATTAACATAAAAAAGAAATGTTAATGTGTAGCTACCATGTATAGCTACCATGTATAGCTACCATGTATAGCCATGTATAGCTACCATGTATAGCTACTATGTATAGCCATGTATAGCTACCATGTATAGCCATGTATAGCTACCATGTATAGCTACCATGTATAGCTACCAACTTTTGAAAACTTACTTTGATCTACCATAGGAATATTGATCAGTTGAGTTGTCTTGGATACCATTGGGAGTAGCATCTTTAGCTTCCTCGTTAGACCCAGTGGACAGTTTAGATACCTGTGGAGAATGTCCAGAACTGTGTTTCCTGGGTGTGTCCGCCGGTGGAACAATACCTGACATGAATTTCATTCGACCAAGATCATCTTGATTCAACATTTCTGACAATTTCTTGTCCTTGTCTTTCACTTGCCGAGCGAATTCCTGCACTTTTTCATTACACTCCAGTTCTTCCTGTGACGGCTGCCGTTCGTGGTTGATAGAGAGGGGTGTACCTTCACTAATGTCTGAGGATGAGGAATTGCTCTGATGGTGACCATACGAACGTGTTGATCTATCGATGGGTGATGGAGCTTCTGGTTGGGGAACAGGTCTATGCGAAAGCGGAGACCGTTGAGGAACTTTGGGAGGCGTAGGGTCACTTTCATACCTGTCCGGCAGGTGAGGAGATGCCTCGAGTCTGGAGTTCGGGGAAATGTCCGGCCGCTCTGGCCGACTGTAACTGACCCGATCAGGTGAACTTTGATTGTAAGAATTTATATCCTGTCTATGCACATTTTCACTACTATCACTGTTTCTTTGAAGAGCACCAACTGAGTTGTCTCCCCTTTCAGCACACTCTCTCCGATGTGACTGCTCGCCATGATGTTGATGCGAGTAGCCATTACCCTGCACACTGTACTGTCCCAGATGATCCATACCTTTCTTGTCTACAGTAAACGGTACTGAATTATCAGACTTGTCGCTACCCGAGCTGTGATGGTCTCTAGCAGACCTAGAACCCTGCTTGGACATTTCCTGTCTATTTTCATATCTGCCCTTGTACTTAGAACTATATTGGTTACCTTGTCTAGGAGAATCCGTGCCAAGGTCAGATGGTTTAGTCCGACCTTCGAAAGACTTTTTCAAATTGTTCACACTTGAAGGTGATTTACGAACTTTATTGTCACCAGAACCTTTGGACGGTTTCTTTTCAAAACGGAAAATACGATCTTTGACTGATGGACTATCTGCATCTTCCTTTTCAGAAGGCGACACTTCCGGGTGACGGGAATGATCCGAGGTCATAAACGGGCGAGGTGCCATTATAGAACTAGTACTCTGGGAGTTGCCAAGCGGCCTTGAACTAATTGTTGGCGTAACGGTGCTTTCCGCTGTGACAAATTCTGACTCGTCTACTTTATTATCAAGGTCTAGAGGAGGCATGTTGATTGCATTTTCGCTCTTCCAGCCTTGGTTGTTCAGATTCCTGCGAGGTGGCTTCTGGATCTGTTGCTTATAGTTGTTGTTTTCGGTGAGGAGTGTCGTTGACTTGGAACGATTGTACACACCCACCTGGCGTGCAGACCTCGTTTTGTGGGAACCATACGAATCGTCTGCACATCTGCAAAGACAAAAATGAACAGCCAATGAAAACAACGCAATGAAATCACATGACCATAAGTGAACCTGCATTACATTCGTCACAGTCAATGGAACTACGACAGATATTTTAGAAAACATCAGACAAAAATAATGAATGAGTGATTATAATAGAATGTGAATGGATTATTTACACATGCCTTTATGTTCTGTATATATGATGTATCTGTATATTAGTATATAGAATGTATCTTTATGTTAGTAAACTGTATATATCCAGTAATAAACCCATGCCTGGTAATAAGCCCACCCAAATCTATTGTATTTAAGTAGAATGCCAACAAATGATATTTCATTGTACTGTTATAAACACATCCATCTACTTTGATTCTGAGATTATGTATTGGCCCCTAGTCTTATTGCAGAATATAATGTATTTGGTATATATATTATTACCACTATATTTCTATATTTTATAGTGTAGTATGTACTTGTACGTTTTTTATTGTCTATGTACATTTCATGTTACACATTAGCAAGCCATTCATGGCCATTATTCCGTCCAGCATGTAGGTATGCATGAAAACATGCAGAGATTAAATAGCCATAGTGTCTGGACGTTAGATCGGTCAATCTTGTAAAATAACTGATGTCTTCTGGACATCTTCATACACCATTAATATTTGCCTTATCTCTGCTACAACATAAATCTGTCCCAATGTAGGGTTCACCCCCACTTCACCTCCACTAGTTATCAACATCAGTCAACATGTGAAGCTAATTTATCCAGGATTGGTGGCATTTTAGACAAATCAGGGGACCACTATGCTATAAATCCTAATTTACACATTTTTGCTGACAGGGGACCAAATAGTTCCTCCAAAAGTCCAAACAGTTACCACAGACACCATTATAGTCCTAAACGTGTCTTCTCACCATCATCTTCTAGGGCCCATGCAACCTTTTCCTGAAGAATGCATGCTTGACCACAGGTGGTCAGTACTTAATCATCCCTCACCATGTACTTAGTAGCTTGACCAATACTAAAGAATGGTCCTATCTACAACATTGGAAACCTGTTCTAGCTGGCCAGATTATTTACCATTACTAAGGAAACCTGCTCTGTCCAGTACCTTGACCATCATTAGGAAACCTGTTCTGGCAGGTACCTTGACCATGACTAAGGAATTTATCCGACCAGTAGATTGACCATTACTTAGGAATCCTAGCATTGCCCTGAGGTCTTATTGTCTTTCTACACACCCACCCACCAACAGCTGTCAGCTGTCCTTACTATCAGGGAAGGGAAGAATGCAGACCTCTGCAGTTCTATCAGTCAGGACAGAGGTCAAGGTTGCATTTTCATAATCCTTGTTATATTCAACGTAAATAACATCTTAATATATGGAATAAAATAAATTCTTTTTTATGTCAATATAAAAGTTCACAGCAAAATAAAAAAATTGTGTTGCTGTATTAATGAATTTCAAAATCAGCATAAATGTTGACTCCAGGGTAAATGAAGTAACTATTTTTTCCATTAAAAAAAAGAGACTATTTTCAATGACAAAATTAAACCTGCTGGAGTTAAGGAGTTTGATACCAGAAGTCTGACACAACACTAAGTCTATGTGATACACTCAGAGTTACATCTCAGAGAACCCATTTCCTGCCTGCTTAATAAGTTTGACCCTTTTTTCTTTTGCATTTCTCTCAATGGAAATTCCCTACGGCCCTTCAATTGCATAATTCTCCGGAATGTCGAACGGAATGTTCCTTATCAGGCGTTTTAGGCGCAAATGTTTGCTTGAAACAAAACATGTGCCAATTATGCCAGTGGACTTTCAACTGCTAGACTTGCAAGTGTCGGGAGATATGATAAGTGTCTCTATTCTGTTGCGATCAGCTGATGATGAAAGAGACAGCCTTTCCCTCTGAGGGCAGGTTTGCAAATTAGTTGCATGTTATGGATTTCTGAAAGCACTTCCTCATTTCTTTTTTCAATGTTTGTTTTCAGAGCCTTGTAAACATTTCTGATTTAGGTTGTATACATTTTTTTTGTAAGAAGAATTAAAGAGTTTTCTCTTTGTTAATTTTTAATCTTTCTCTTTGGCACTTGTGTAGAATTCAGTAAAACTTCTAACAGTTAATTTATCTGGCACCTAAGTATGAGGATACCCTGTCTACTCTGACAGTATGGAAATACCAAAATATATTCATCATATTATCAAACATTATTTGTTCTTATCAAAAACATTTTTTACAACATTCTGGTTTCTCATTTTTTTCCATTTCTCAAGTTTTACCGTAAACATTTGGGAGGGGCTATCACTATTGACATATTGTCACAAACATTGGTCACTGCTGGTCACTATACTCCCGTACTAGCCAAGTCATACAGGTCATTCGTAGGTGTCATCATTTCTATTTAATGACCGCCAGCTTACAGGTGGACACTGGTTTTTGTTCTTGGTCACCTGTGGTCATCTGTACACATGTTGACCATTAGTCATAACAGGTACCAGCTTGAGCTGACCAACACTGTAAACAAACTGGTCATTACCTGTATACGTCACAAAGTATCATAAAATATATCTCCAGGCTTTTTTTACCTGCAATCAGATCTACTGGTAGATAATTTGTTTTTATGTCAGTTGTTATAAAATAGATAATGGCATTTCCTATTTCCTGTCTAGATTGCGTTGATGATAAAATTATGCAACAGGAACCTAGCTGCACTGATAAACTTAAAGATTAATAACACATAGATCTGACTTCAGCACAATTAATTGATTTCATGTTAATTGATATCAAGAATATCACGAAATCTTCCACAAATATTGAAAACCAATTCACTAAAAGTATGTTTCTTCATTTTGCTGTATTTTATTACACAGACACAAACATCATATCACTATGATTCAATTTAGGGCTCAATGTTATTGGTGTTTTGTTGAAGTAACTCTTCTAAGAATGATTTCCTGAGAGGTGAATTTAATGTATTGTACAAGGGAGAGTTTCTTTGAAGTTTTGAACAAACTGAATAATACCACCAATTCAATAATACCCAGGTCCGAGAGAAATGGGGGCTAAGATCAAAGGATGAGCCTCAGGATTAAGGCTCTTTCCACGGCCCCCAAGGGGGCTCGGCGAACTTCCTTGCCCCCTGATGCCCTCTCCCCATTATAAAACTTCAAAAGGGCAAGAAAAAACATCAACAAGGATCAATCTCAGTTTCTGATCATTTCCACATAAAACTGTCATAATAAGCCATATAGTGAATGATTAACCGTGACCAGTACATGCTATTTTATAGTTAACTCACCAAGGTACAACCTTGACCCTCTAGTCACAGTGGGATATGACCTTGACCTCCGGGTTTTTGATACTTACTGTAATAATTTTCTTTCATTTTCTTTCAAATTTCAGTGGTTTTTTTCGAAATACTTCTGCGAATACCTTTACTTTTATGTGAAATAATTCTTTTCTATTGTGAAACATGTGAATGTAACAGAATATACGATGAAAGAGGTTGTTGATACTGAACCAAACTAGTTCAGTAATGTATGTAATATATCTAACATCCTGTGATATTTAATAGCCTTACAGGGCAAATGTTTGATGTCTAAGACCTGTTTTGGCACAATAGAATCATATTCAATGGTTAGCATAATATTTCAGTGGGAACTTGTTTTTATTAAATAGAGTAATTAAGTGTTGAAATGTAAGAGAATTTCCTATACTGTTTTGCACAGAACAAGTCTGCAATTTGGGCAGAGGATTGACTTTGGGGGGGGGGGGGGGNTGATTGACTGAATAGGGGCAGAGATCAGGGGTCTGAAGGGACAATATGACTTAAATGGGGCAACTTAACAGGACACAGCAGTGTGACTGACTGGGATAGGGTGGAGAATGGTTCGACTGGTACAAATTAACCAGGCTATGTAGGACAATATATGTACTTACTTGATTCCCCAGCGCTGGAATGAATACATCACCATCTGTTGAGGGTGAATATCTGTTGGACTTGCACGTACAAGTCAAGCATTGGGGACATTGTTATATCACATCCTGGGAAAAGTCTGCAGACTGACCATATTGACTGGCAGGTCAAACCAACTGGTCAATGAATTTTAATAACATCCAAAACCACCACACATATATCCAGTTTTGGCCACAACGAAACACTGTTCCTTTTGAGGTAGAGAAATACACAGATTACAGAACTGTTTGTCCCAGGAATCAACATTAAATAACTGAGACACCAATTCTCAGGTACATGCTACCCCGACAATCAATCTGTGAACTATATAAACTTTCCTCAATAAAACTTTTACATCTCTGTTACAAAGTAAACATGGAGCCTGTGAGTTTAATCGGGCCAATTTAACAGCTGGTTTGTGGCCCGAATTAATCTCCTACTACAAGTTTATGTTAATTGGTAGTGCACTAGCCCCCAGCTTGTACACTACCAATGACTGGAGTATGTAGTATACTGGGACACACACTCTCCCCCTACTACAGCACAACAGTCTCCTCCTGTGTTACAAGTACATCTATACACACACAATGTATCCAAAATTACACCTAATGAACAAGGCCTATCAAGGTCCCCATACCCTGAACAGTACTCCAAATCCCAAAACACACTGGTGTACACATTGCTTACTTCCCCTTAATCCTTTCTAAGCCGTTAAAAAAACCAAATCCCACATCAGCACTGCAGCCAAGATGGCGACTGTCTTAGTAACCACAGGGTTCACAAGGGTCCAACACTGAAGATGACATGCAACATATTGTCGGCATGTAGTTGCCACCTCATGACTATTCCCGTTAAACCGTGTCAACCTTTGACCCTCAAGCAACGTCACTTCCAGAGAAATGTGTCCCCTGGGAATGTTTTTAAGTGCCGACTATAGTACCCCTGGCTATATACAATCAGACCTTTATCTCACTAAAAGTAAAAGTGTTGGAAGATGAGTTCGGAGATAAAGAACTATACAGTAATCCATTAAAGGCATG